AGGAGCTTAAACTGCAAATCATCATTCTCATATAATTAACCCATTAGATAGTAAGTAGCTATATATTACCATATATAACAACCCATTAAGCCAAAAGTCTTTTACTGTGGTAATTACATAGTACTACTCCTCAAGTTAAGGATCATGGACACTTAATAGCTCAAACTTCAGTAGATAGTATAGGTGTTTGAATTTGACAAAAGGAGTTGTGATTTATTGATTTAATTAGTAAGAGAGTTTGCTCTTCATTTTTTTTATTAAAATTTGATTTTTGGGAGGCTAATAAAGAGATGATTTCTCATGAATTCCCTAATCCCAATTTGGATGATTTGTCTTTGATTGAACCAAAAAAAATTAGTCTCAGGTTATGCAAAAACTGACTTGGAAATATCTTCACCTTTAAATAGGAAAAAATATAAGTGTTTGTCAATACAATTAAGATTTTAGTGGCACAAAAACTTCCAGCATGTTTAATTAACTTGTTAGAGACAGAATACACAAACAATTCCAAATGTTTAATGAAAAAAATATTCAATATTTTCAACCAAACTAAATCTTAACGATTTGCCATTGGTTTCTTGAAATTTATGCAAGGCTTGAAATGGAAGATTTTTTTTTTTAAATATATTTTAAAAAAGAAACAATCAATGGTAAAATATTGGATGTGTGCCAATTCACCCTTATTCATTGTATTATTATTATTTTTTAGCTATAATATATAAATTTACACATTAATTTCGCACATGCGCAACACACAGTAATCATACTGCACTAGTAACTCCCAGGACTGTCACCTCTGCTTCCACCACGCAAACATCCTTCAGTAAAACACCATTGATTGGTTGATTGAAATAGACAAAACTCACAAACCTTGACCATCCATTCTCCGGATTAGACCCACTGAACCAGTAACTTGCTGCAAGAGAAGGGAAAAAATTTACAACCATATACATTAAACTTACAAATTTCCATAATTAATTGCATAATTTAACTTAAATTATGAAATTCATCATCCATTTTGAACCAAGTTTGTTTGTTATCCACGAAGCAAGTTTCGTTCATGTACAATACACATCATCTTGATTAATCATGGATGTTTTTCCCTTAACAATTTTTTTTTTTTTTCTTTTTGAAAGAGGGCAATTAGTACATATTTTAGGTATATGAGGAATGGGGGGAGGGGATCCCGAAGGGCTTGAAGACAACTAACGGGAGGTGATCCCCACTAACCAATGGCCTTAGCCACTAGGCCGAAGCATGAGGATCTTCCCTTAACAAATTAAATAAGTGACAGAATTAAGTTGCTTAACAACTTAGGTTAAAGATATTTGGCCATTTTCTTTTAGTGCAAACTAAATAAGAGTTTCACCTTTTCCAGAAATATGCCTGCCCGGTTGTGTTTGATCCACCATCCGCAAAATGAACTCTGTGAATATTTTAGAACTACTAGGGATTGCTTTTGGATCTGCCAAAGCCAAATATAGAGAAATATGACTGCCTAATCCAAGACGCCTTCCCTTTGGATACATCTGTATCTTCCTATTGAACAAAGCCATTTGAACTCTGTGAGATTCTATATATATGAGTAAAAGGAAGGGAGAAACAAAAAGCTCTTCATATATCAGGACACCATACCAATTATAATCCCCAGAGAGAAATGTTTGTGAGTCATAGCATTCTAACTGCTTCGTTGAAAAGCTTTCAATCCTCCAAATATGCTTGGAACTGGTGGCATCCTTTATCATTGATAGGTGTTCTCCTTTTCCTGTGCTCATTTCCTTGGTAACAAACACCTCCGCTCCAAGAACACATGTATCATCCACTAGGTATCCGTTGGAAACATCATTGAATGTTCTGAGTGGCAGGAATTGATCGAAGCCCCATTGATTTCTCAATCCATGGAAGCGCCTTTCCTTTACCGTGGCATCTAGGCATGATATAGTTGTTAGGGATTAATTAATACTGTTCTTGGCAGCAGCAAGACTAGATGAATATAACACAGATACTTCATGTAATGACTAAATTATATGAAGCCAGGAAAATATGAAGTTCTGAGGACTAATTGAGATTATACCATTAACGACCAAATAATTGTCCTTGTTCTGATCAAGCAAAAACAATTTGAAACTGGCACGGACCTCCGAATTGCCGTTGACAGAATCTGTATCAGCAATTGCTAGATAGAGGGAGATGTGGTCTTTCACATTCCGGCCTTTATTTCCACTTGGGTAGAGAATCAGTTTCCTGTTTATATATTCACAGAAAGAGAACGAAGTTCCCACATGAGATGAACACATTTAGTTGTAAATCATAAGGCAAAATAAAGTATGTGACTTTGTAGTGAGGAAAAAGAGAAGTCGAAAACCTTACCATTTGTAGCTTCCAGCCTCAAAATCTCCAGATTCATAATTTTCTACCGAGTTTTTTAAAAGTAATGAGAATAACTGTATCTTGACCACGTAATGAGTTGGTGGGGCATCTGATATAGATCTTTCAACACCTACAATAACATATAATTGTAGCTATATTAATGCCATTACCATTTAGGAACAGAAAAAAATTAATAAGCATAAAATTAATAGAGTAGAATTTGCAATGGAAAATGAACTGAGAGAGACAGGTACCATCTTGGGTGGTAGAGACAGAACTACTTGCCATGGGAAAAGATTTGAGTTGGAATTCTGGATAGTGCAGGCCCCCTACTTATAATACAAATCAAAAGGCTGGTATACATATTCCAAACTTAAAAAAGTTTGTTTAAGGATTCAAATTCTCTATCCTTTTCTTGGAGAGGCTGCTCATGAAAAACAGAAAACGTTAAGGATTCGAACTTCATTTATCCTTTGCTTATAGAAGACTGCTTTTGATCTATGCGGTACCAAAGTATCCATTCTTTGAATAAGCATTAATTCTCTGAGAAATGGTGAAGTATATGAATTCCTCAACTTTACTAATTAAGGATAAAGACTTGTTTTCTTACTAATTAATTAAGGCTATGAACTTTTTATAATTACTAATAAAGGATATGAACTTTTAGGTGCAGTTTAGTATGGTTGTGGTTTTGAGTTTTTGATTTTAATTTTTATAAATTTTGCAACTCTAAATGAAAACTCATTCATTTTCACGTGTTTTGGCAACATATTAATATGATTATTAAAGAAATAAGAATAAAAATGATTTTAATATTATTAAACAAGTAAATATCTTTAGTTGTCATTGTTAAAATTTATTTTAAATAAATTTTTAATTTTTCATTTTTAGTTTGATTTTTGGTAATTACAAAATTTATAAAAACTAAAACAAAAAAGTTAAAACTACAACCACGTTAAACGGACCCTTGGTTTTTACTAATCAATTGGATTAAGTGGAAGTCCAAACTGACATGGTAAAGGAAATCTATTAATGGACCTCATAATTTATGCTGATGTGGTTTTCAAAAAAAAAAAAAAAAAATTATGCTGACATGTTAAGAAAATGAGCCATGCTTGCTAAGTTAGACAATAAATTGATAAATGAAATAAAGAAGACTCGTGGGATCCACAAAGATTAAGTTCTTCTATTTTTTAGGTTCCCACAAGTCTCTTGTTTAATTATTTATTAATTTATTGTCCAAGTTAGGATAAAAAGCCCATTTTCTTAACACATCAAGACAAATTTTTAGGTCCAATTGATTTCGTTTGCCACACCAACTTGGAGATTTGGACGTCCACTTAATGATTAGTAAAACTTAGAGTTCATATGCTTGATTAGTAAAACCTCTAAGTTCATATGAGTATTAGTTACTTTTGAAAGTGCATAGCCTTAATTAGTAGGTAAAAAAGTTCACATCCTTAATTTTTTTTATCAACCAAATAAATTTTATTAATTTGGAATACAAGGGGTACTCCTACCCATTTACATCAAATTTTACTAGTGCAAAAAAGATATAACATAGTTACATACCTACTGATTTAACACATAATTTTGGATGACAAATCCAATCATATAAAGAGAACCCACAACCATTTATTGAATCCTTTAACCATAGAAAGGATTTGGTTTGTATAATCCCTGCCAAACTATCTGCCTCGGTCTTTTTTGCTTGAAAGATTAATTTGTTTCTTGTTCCCCAAATATGCCAAGTAGCTGATATAAATATAAGGGACCAAATCACCTTGAACTTATCATACTACCACCCGTGGACTAGCTGACAAAATGCCTCGACAAAACCTATTAATGCAATTTGAACACCCCACCAGGCTAATATGTTCATCCACACTTTTTGTGCAAACGAGCATTGAAACATCCAATGATCTAAATCTTCCTCATTCTCCCTGCACATTGAACATAATGCACTACCTCCATCTATTGGAATCCCTCGCTTGCTCAAATTTGTCTTTGTTGGAAGCTTGTCTAAGAATAATCTCCAAGCAAAAAAGCTCACCTTTCCTGGAATAAATTTGTTCCAAATTGCTTTGCAAAAATCAGCATCTAAATTTTTTTGCACTAGGTTCAACAATTCATATGCTTTTTTAGGAGTGTAGAGACCATTCTTATCAAATTTCCATACCCTCTTATCCTCCCTTCCAGTACATGGATTAATCCCTTCAAGTAAATCTATGATCTCCTTCTCTGCTTCAATCTCCCTCCCAAACAATTTTTGCCTCCATTTCAATACCCAGCACCATTGACCCTCCTTCCATTCCCCCATCTCCTCCACTTTATAGCCTTCGATACTTGACACATATTTCAACCTAGGAAAAACTTCCCTCAAAGCAAAATCCCCAAGCCATTTATCCTTCCAAAATCTAATCCTATCGCTCGCCCCTAGCTTCCACCCGAATCCATTGCCTATTATATCCTTAGACTCCTCCACCTACCTACCTATTGAAACTATATCCATCCACACCTTAGACATTCACCTTCTCCTTACACACCCCACCCCACCAATGCCATTTGTTCTATAATACTTGCCCACCACCACCCTTTTCCACAAACCCCCTTCTTCCTCTTCAAATCTTGCCCACCACTTTCCTAAAAGGGATAAGTTCCTAAGTCTAAGATTGGGTACCCCTAAACCTCCCTTATCTTTCTTTAAACACACTTTTTCCCATGATACCCAATGAAATTTTCTCCCACCTTCTCTTGCAATACCCCACAAAAAGTCTCTTTCCATCTTCTCAAGCAATTTTAAAACACATATTGGTACTTTGAAAACTAAAAAATAATATAAAGGAAGGGAAGAAAGTACTGATTTCAGAAGGGTGAGCTGGCCACCAAAGGACAAGGTTCTCAATTGCCATCTTGATAGTCCTTTTTGAAACTTTTCTACAACCGGCATCCACATCTTCCTTTTTCTAGGATCATCACCCATAGGCGTACCCAAATACTTGAAAGGGAATGACCCTTTCTTACATTTCAAAAAAGCTGTTGCCCTTTGCAACCTCTCTTCACTTGTTTGCACCCCAAAGATGCTCTTTTTTTAAAAAAAAGTTAATTTTCAATCCAGACATCAATTCAAATCACCTTAGAATCCCCGTCAATATCCACACATAATCCAATTTAGCCTTGCAAAGAATCACTATGTCGTCAGCAAATTAGAGATGTGAAATAACTAAGTTACCATTCCCAATGTGCACACTTCAATCAGACTTGACTCAACAACTTTTACAATCAAATAGTGTAGTCCTTACACCACCAACAAAAAAAAGAAAACGTCATAGAGGATCACCTTGTCTTAATCCTCTCTCTGGTTTAAATTCCTCCATAGGACTTCCATTAACTAATATAGAAATTGTTGCAATTGAAATGCACTCCATTATCCACTTCATCTATCCCCAAAAACCACTCTTCTCCATCATATCATTCAAAAAGTCCCAATTCACACAATCATATGCTTTTTCAAAGTCTACTTTAAGGATAAAATTGTCCTATTCTTCCTCCTAGTCTCTTCCATAATCTCATTCAAAATAAGAATGCCATCAATGATTTACCTCCTTTCAAGAAAAGCTGACTGATTGTCACTAATCAAATCATGCAAAACTAATTTTAATCTATTGGCTAAAACCTTAGCCAATATCTTGTACATGCTGTTGATAAGGCTAATTGGCCTAAAATCTTTTAGCATCACTGGATTTTCCACCTTCAGGATCAAAACAATAAAGCTAGAATTAATGCCCTTAACTAGCTTACCATTTTTATGAAACTCTTGCGTAAATTGCATTATGTCCTCCATAATCTCCCAAGCAAATTTGATGAATTTGAAGTTAAACTTGTCTGGTCATAGGGATTTTTCATTGCAACATTCTTCTACAGCTGCCCTTACTTCTTTAATTGTGAACTTTATCTCCAATCTTTCCTTATCTGTGGAAGAAATTTTCTTGAAATTCATATTGCCTAGAGTTGGCCTCCTCCATTTCTCTTCTGAACATTGTCTTTGAAAGTGATAAAATATTTTCTTCTTCACCACTTTGGATCATCCTCCCACATTCCATCTTTCCAAAGCCCTTGAATACCATTTCTTTTCTTCTTGAAACTTGCATATCTATGAAAAAATTTTGAATTTGCATCTCCTAATCTAACCTAATTGGTCCTCGATTTCTATCTCCATAAGAACTCTTTTTTCCTCAAAGCTCCCCATAACTCATTCACTCCTTCCCTCCTTGCTAACACCTCAAAATCATCTAGCTCCTAATCCTCTCCTTCAAATCAATCATGTCTATTTTTCCTTTAGCTTCCTCTATTTGTTTGTCTATACTATCAAACACCTTTCTATTCAAGCTCTTGAGAAAGAACTTCAACATCTTTAATTTTTCCTTACATTTAAAACCTCCCCACCCATTGACTCCCATTGCTCCTTGATGACTTTTTTAAATCCTGGAAATTCAAGCCATCCATTTATAAATTGAAAAGGTAGATGCCCTCAATCTGTATTAATTGTTTTAAACATAACTGGACAATGATTTGAAACTAATCTTTGAAGGCCCACCTGACAACAATCATTTCATTCATCCAATAATTCATAATTCACCAAAAATCTATCAATTCTACTCATAGTAGACCCATCAAGTTTATACCATGTAAATTTTCTCCCAACCAATTATAAATCAACCAAACCTATATCTAGCAAAAACTCATTAAAGGCTATTATTTCTCTTGAACAATCTGATCTCCCTACTTTCTCACTTGAATTCAAGATTGCATTGAAATCACCTGCTACACATATTTTGCCTCCAATGGATGATATTACATCCTTCAACTCATTCCACATCTGTAGCTTCTCCTGCAAATTACATGGGGCATAAACATTGATAAATGAACAAGTGATTTTATTTGGACCCTAAAGTCCCTTTAGATAAATAAACCAATTGCTTGCCACAATAGACTCTTTTACAAATATATTTTTGTGCCATACACATAGCAACCCCCCTAATCTGCCTATTGCATCCTTTGCCTCCCAATCAAAATCATTTTCACCCCAAATTACCCGACAATCCACATACTCAATCCCTTCCAATTTATTTCCTGTAAGAACACCATTTTGACCTTTTATTTTACTACCAAACTCCTCACATCCTTTTTCTTTAACACACTATTTAAACCCCTAACATTATAAGAAATAATCTTCATGGTTAATAACAAATCCACAAACCTGAAGCCGAGCCTTCTTAGTTGTAAGATCTACTAACTTCATCCTTATCTTCGAATTGATGCACCACTTTCCCAGTTTCTTGCTTGTTGTTCCTTATTTCAACTCCAATCTTTCTTCCTAGTTCTAAAAATTGATTTATTTCCCCCCCATTTATGCTTCTTTCTCAGGATTTTATTTCTTTGCTCTGTCCAACTATCAGACAATGACAAACCTGTTATCTTTTTGTTTGGTCTCCTTTTCTTCTTTTGAAGTCTTCTTTTGTTACCTCTATTCTTTCTTGTCACCCACTTTGTTTCACTTTCATTAGAATAGTAGATTTCAGCTAGATCCCTCCATTGTTTGCCATTCTTCATTCTTCACCTCTATTGTTTTGCCTCTCCTCCTTTCTCACTTGATATCTTTGTTCAAGCTTGCTGCATCTTTGTATCATTAATAGTTGGATGTGAGTTTCTAGAAGATTGTCCATAATGGGCTTTAGTGTTTTGGAATTCATGAAACCCAACTTCTTGGCCCACTCCAATGTTTTCTGCACCATTTGAATTCCCCCCCCCCATGCAATTTTCCTTTATTAATACAATTTTCTAAATTATTATTTTTTGGCTCAGTCCTCAATTCCCCTAGACTTCACTTGATTTTCGCTGTCAAGCTGACAAACATCAGCAAATGTCTCTTAGACAGACCTACATGATTGTCTCGTATAGGGAGACACGAAATTCATGTGTCTTTTCAACTGCCTCAAGAGTATCTGCCCAGCCAACCTCTTCATCTTCCTCAACATGGTGGCATTCTACATTACTTGAGTCATTGGAAAAGCTTGAGTCATCTCCCTTGCCATCTATCACTTCTGCCAACCTACCACACATGCACCATTCTTGGTTTGCTCTCCAATTTTCTTCTAAAACATAGATTCAAAATGGCTGTCCATTAACTTTTAAGATCACAAGATCATTAAAGCTCTTAGAATTTTCCATTGTAACACAAATTCTTGCTGCTTCTAAACAACTTCTATCCAAAGTGTGCTTATCGGCATAGATATAACAATCAAAATGATCACCAATAATTTTAAAGCAATATTCATTCCAAGCATGAAGTGGGATGCTAGAGATCTTTAACCAAGTAAATTTCTCTTGGCTAATATCAAATGTTGACCATAGTTTGACTCTATCGAACCATCTATCTAACCACCTTTGCTCATTGTCTACCAACTCCTTCATTCGAGCAATATTATCACCTTTGAGAAGCACCATGCATCCTCCCATGGGCACAACTACAATGTGAAAACAACCTTCCATCTCAAAAACCTCTTGAAGAGATGGAATAACCTCCAAAGAGGTAGCATATCCTATTGCACATGCATTGAGCCAATCGTACTCCTTCTCTTTAATATTGCATTCAATCACCTTGATGCCCTTTACACAATCATCGAACACCCCCTCATTTGATGCCCCTCCACAAGAGTTAACACTTTCCCTCTTTTGCTCCCCTATGCATGTCTCCCTTCAACACCTCTAAGAATGTCTTTTGAGCCCTTTCCATGCCTTTGTGCTTCCTTTTTATCTTTGCAACTCCCCCCTGATTCTCTATTCATAGGTGTTGATCCTTTTGCAACCCATTTCATCTTTCCTCTATCCTTCCTTGATATTGTCCTTTTCTCCTATGCCATACCTGAATATAGCCTAGTAGACTCAGTCCACCCATAGCAGATAAATTTCACCCTTAGATGGAAATTATCGATCGAGATCTGATTCAAACTTTCCTCCAAGGTAGAAGTTCTCATCACATTCAAAAGCCTTACAAAACCATACTTCTTTCCACTTCTATCCCTTTTCTTGGAGATATGAACATCTAGAACTTTTCTTTATCTTGAAAATAAACCCCACAGCATCCCAAAGCTCCATTCCTCAAGAAAGTTGGAGAAGAGAATCCTCCAAGAGTTCATCAACAAATCCACATTGAAGTTTGCAAACCTACCAAATCTCTATCGTTGCTTTGATGCCAAAGAAGACTTTCCACGATCACCCTGTCCTGTGGCTATCGGAACCCTCTACTGGTACCGCTTGCTCTTCCTAAGTCGTTACTCTCTCGCCATCTTTTTTCTCTTAATTGTATAGTTCATATCCTTAATTAGTAAAGTTGTAAAAGTTCATATATCCTTATACATCATTTCTCTTCATTCTTTGCTTACATTTGTCAATAACTACATTTTATAAAGAAAGGACAACTATAAAAATTTTCAACCTCCAGAACAATTATCATTACATTTACAAAGTTCAAATTAAGGAATGCAACCCATGGATGTTATTACTCAAAATGCATAACATGTGATCACTACAAATAGGCAAACACTTTTATGTGAGCTCTAAGGCTTCAATTATCGCAAACTTTGTAATAGTGAACATAACATACCCAATTATCCATGGCAAGATAGTGACCACAATATTTCCACGTGTAAGACCCTAGCATGCCACCAAAATAGTCATTTTTTCCAACCAAACATAACTTTACAATTTGGAGTTGGTTTTGTTAGGAAAAATGATTCAGCGGAATAAAATAGTTTCTGTGAACAAAACAAATAAACAATAACAAAAAATAGTGAAACAAGCGCCTTTGCCAGCTAATATTAATTGTTAGTGATAATGGTGATTTAGCTAGTCAACCAAAATAAAATGGGTGGTTTAACTAACCACTTAAGAGGAAAAATAAATAATAAGACAACACCAAATTTTATGTGAAAAAACCCTTAAAAACTATTGAGGGAAAAAACCATGGGACAAACTCCAGAGAGTATTCCACCATGTAATAAATTGCATAGAATATACACTCAAGTATTTTTCTCTCTTGGTGTTTCCCACTACCCCAAGATATGATCACAATCTTGATAAACCCATAATTTTATCACTCAATGTACTTTCTCTATGGAGCACACCTACACCTAACCTTAATGCCTAGCTCTCACCATTTTCTTTTTCACCCAACCCCTCTCTTTGGAACTCACTTTGCTCACCTTGCTTGCTTGTTGCCTTTGCATGCATGGGTATTTATAGGGAAAAACCCAACCACTTGTGCATGATTTTCTTTGCCTCATTAAATGAGTAAACTTGCTATGGTTGAAATTATCATGCAAACATTCAACAATAGCTTCTATAGGTGCAGCCTTTTAACTAAAGGGTGAGAAAATTTACCACATGAAAAGTCCATGTGTTCACATGGGCTGGACTTCTGCCAACAGGTTTCTTAGAATTTATACAAGGCTTGAAATGGAGGATTTTAAAATTTTTTTTTAAAAAAAAGATAAATGGTTAAATATTGGATGTGTTTGAATTCACCCTTTATCATTGTTTTTTATAACATTAAATTTTTTTTATTTAAATAGAGTATAAGAGATACACCTACCCAAAAACTATTACAAAGGTATTGGTCAATGCCAATTGACTTCTTCTAGAACTAAATATCGAAGGAAAACATTTCTCATGCAACCTCTCCTAAGATCACCCTTGTTTCATGTGTTTGAATTCACCCTTTATCATTGTTTTTTATAACAATAATTTTTTTTATTTAAATAGAGTATAAGAGATACACCTACCCAAAAACTATTACAAAGGTATTGGTCAATGCCAATTGACTTCTTCTAGAGCTAAATATCGAAGGAAAACATTTCTCGTAGAACCTCTCCTGAGATCACCCTTGTTTCTAGTGTCTTCTGCATGCTTAATCATTGTTTTTTTTTTTTTTTGTAGCTACAAATACATAAATTTACACATTAATTTCTCACATGCAACACTAGTTAATCAAATTGCGTTAGTAACCCCAAGGACAGTCACCTCTGCTTCCACCACGCAAACATCCTTCACCAAACAACCATTGCTTGGTAGATTGAAATAGCCAAAAGTCACATACTTTGCCCATCCATTCTCCGGACTAGACCCACTGAACCAGTAACTTACTGCGAAAGAAAGGAATAAGTCTACAACCATATACATTAAACTGACAAATTTTCATAATTAATTGCATAATTAAACTTAATTATGAATTTATATCCATATTGAACCAAGTTTGTTATCCATGAGCAAGTTTCGTTCATGTACAATTCACATCAGCATGCTTAATGATGGATTTTTTTTTTTTCGCTTACAAACTTAATAAACGACAAGATTAAATGGAGTTATTGAACTGGAGAGAGACTTTCAACTTTCAAGTAGCTTAATAGTTTGGCTTAAAGACCCACGAATAAATGGTGATTTGGCCATTTTTTTCATGCAAACTAAATAAGATTTGAGATTACTGTTTGTCAGCTGAACCGTTGAAAAATTATAAGGAAAACATTTTAAAATTAGGTCATTTTAATAAAATATTATGAAAAAAAGGCCAAAACAATATTAATTATTCTTTAAAAATAGGGTTTTTTTGGTTATTTTTTAATGAGAGTTTACTAACATAACATACTAGTTTTAGGGTGTTTTTCCTCTTAATTTTTTAGAGGTCTAGTTGACAAACACTTTTCTTATAAAACTTTTACCTTTGCCTGAAATGTGCCTGCCCTGCATTTGATCCACCATTCGCAAAGTGAACTCTGCCAATATTTTAGAACTACTAGGGGTAGCTTTTGGATCTGCCAAAGCCAAATATAGAGAAATATGACTGCCCAATCCATGACGCCTTCCCTTTGGATACATCTGTATCTTCCTATTGAACAAAGCC